ACCCACCCCCCCCACACACCTGCTTTAGGAGGCTCCTTCCCCTATGTCAGGGTCTGTTACATACCTTTTACTTTTCTTTCCACAATCAAAACAGGATAGATTTGAGATCAGTTATTTGCATTTTTGTTGATTGACAGATTACCCTTTCAAATTCATTCCTACAAAAACATCACTATAAACAGCATTGCCAGTCTGACTCTGAGGGACCTGGCTGTGGAAAGAAAGGGTTTTTCATATTAAAGAATATTAGGGTTCCACACAATCTCACCGACAGATACCACATGCTGAACCAAGTAGTTCATCTCAGTCGTTTTGGCTCAGAAAATGTACAGCAGCCTGGCCGGGCGTGGCTCAGCGGTTGAGCATCGACCTAGGATTTAGGAGATCGGGGTTCAATTCCCGGTCAGGGCACATGCCCGGGTTGCGGGCTCGGTCCCCAGTTGGGGACGTGCAGGAGGCAGCTGATCAATGACTCTCCCATCATTGATGTTTCTCTTTCTCTCTCCCCCTCTCCCTTCCTCTCTCTGAAATCAATAAAGATACATTTAAAAAAAAAAAAGAAAATGTATAGTAAATAAATGTGATTCCTCAGTCTTAAAATATATATATACATTTATATAATTACAGAGGAAAATGGAAAATATGGGAAACCCAGGATCACCTTGCAAGTCATTTGAATTTNTTCCTCTCTCTGAAATCAATAAAGATACATTTAAAAAAAAAAAAAGAAAATGTATAGTAAATAAATGTGATTCCTCAATCTTAAAATATATATATACATTTATATAATTACAGAGGACAATGGAAGATATGGGAAACCCAGGATCACCTTGCAAGTCATTTGAATTCGTTTTTGTTATGTTTATTTTGTATTTTTAAAGGACGGAGGGTTGGAGGCTACAAGCAGCATCAGTAGCTGGGTTCAGGAACAATCCCAACCACACACCCTGGCAGAGTAGCTGGGTGCCTTAACCGCTGCCCCCAGGGCCTGAACACAGGCGCAACCAAAGGAGTCAGCAGCGCCCCCCGGCTCCCCCCCAGGAAGGCTTCAGAGTCTGTCTTTTGAGGTTGACTTCATAGGAGGCCACAGGGCGGTCAGTGTTTGGCAAGTATGTGGTTTATCAGTTCTTCCTGTAAGACATAAATGTTTAAATGTGCCACAGTTTTTGTTGCCCTGCTTTGCCATTTCTTCTTGTCTGTACACGTATGAGGAGCCCTGGGAAGGAGGAATCCGGGGTTCGCCTCTGCCTCTCCGAGGCTCCGGCCGATGCTGCCCCGGTGTGGTCCCGGCTGCCCCGATCCTGACCCTTCGCAAGACTGCGCTCCTCTCCGCTGCAGCTCTAGTGCTTTCTCTCCCTGCCCAGCACGGCTCCACCATGAACCCTCCACAGAGCCTTGCTCATCCATACTTGGTGTGAGTTTTACTTAATTTAATGCTCTCATTATTACAACCTGTACGCAGTACATCTAAAATCTCTCAATACATGCTTATTCCACTTGAATTATTTCTATTTCTAACTTAGATATTTTGCATCACAAAATCTCTCCAAATTGGGGCTCGGTTTTTGAAGTTATTAGTTTTACAACAATAATTATAACGAACATTTAAGTACTTGCTTTGTGCCAGGCACTCTACTGTTTCACATAAATTATCTCATTCTGTCACACTTAACTACATATAAGCATATGCTTAAATATGTCAGTAGCACTTAATTAAAATGAAGATATTGTTGGTCATCTTTGAAAGAAACATCTCAATATACTGAAGACATGAAATCCACAGAATGCAATACTTTGAAGACTGAGAAAATGTACAACACTAAATTATTATAGGGATACTATTAAATTTATGTTTCTATCATGGAAAAAAAGCTATTCAAGGTACCTACTTTCTTTTTTTCCTAGAAACCACAGCTTCTAATATGTCAAATAAATATGATTAGATTCTTATCTTCAATAAATTCTTTTACTAAGACAGTAATATATAAAGTGAGTATTATGTTTTTGCATTAACTCCCAAACTGTTTTCCATAACAACAACCCAGCCTGACATCAGTTGTGGTGTGAGGGCTGAAAAATAACATGAGATAGGATTTTTACTAATCCTTTAACATTCCACTTCGAAGCTGCATGCTGCTCTTGATCAAAACTCTTATTTTATTATCAAGACTTACATTACTCTCTGAAGGAGCGAATTTTCTGCTGGAGAAAGGAAATGAAGGACTGCTAATGCTGGAAATGTATTTTTCCCGTCTCGGCATTAGTACATGATATATATTCATATTAATAACAACTCTGAAAACTAGTTTCATTTCTTCTGCATATAAGCAATAAACAGCGGGTGCAAAAATATGAATACTACCAGCAGTGACGTGGATATATAATGTGGGGTTTCTTTGCAATGTACAGCCTTTGCCAGTGTTTCATTGGCGCGTGTGTACAGGCAACTGCCGCATGTGGCCGTCAAAGCTGGATGAGATGGAGCCAAACAACGCAGGCTTTCAGGGAAAACCGGGGCTGCAGCTCAAAAGTTCCCGTCCAAATCCAAGGGCACTCTACGACCAGTCTTCCTCCTTCATGCAAAAAGAGTGAGTCAGTTATGTTACCAACATGCCTCGACAACAGACCAAAGTCTTTTTACAGTCCAGTAAGAGGCAGTAAAATCTAAAAACTCCATTAAGAAAATGTAGATATCTCAAAATATCTTCATGCTCAAGTCTGTCACCTCTGCAAATCTTTTGCAAAGTCTACCATAATTTTATTGGTACGACTGAATCTAGTAATGCGAAATTTCACAGAAACAAGTACTTTACACCAAAATAATGTTTGAACTGTTTTCTAAACAAAAAATTTACGTATCGTGTTTAATAATAAAATAAAGTTTTTGGTTATTGTCATTAATTTTATGTGTAATAATTGCAGGTGGTAACTGCTGGAGCACAAAGACTTCTTCCTAGTCCCAAAATAATTTTACAATTCTATTACATAAGTGGATAAATAATAAATGGATAAATAAATCACTCGAGTCATGCAAGATCTTGTCTTAATCCAGAGCATTTTTAACACTGACCCTACATCTGATGGCAGCAGACTGCACTTGCCTGCTGGTGTCGCATTCGTTTCTGAAGCTCTAAAGGTTTGACATAGACGGTTCTCCATAAATGCCAAATGAATTCTCATTTACCAGAGTGTGGACTCTGCTGGTGAATTCAGGTACTTACTCTCACAGAAGAAACTAAAGATAATACCCTACGCTTACTGAGCTTGTCCTTCTCTATAGTTTTCAAACAAAGAAAATGTCACCTCCCAATGCAAGGAACCCTGAGAGTGATCTTGATATCAGCTCCCCACAAAGACACTTGATCTTATTCACTGCAGACAACAGATTACTTGGGGAAATGTTTCAATTGATCACAATCTGGGGCATGGATTTGGAATCAGGGATGCCCAAGTTCAAATCCCATCCCCGCCACCAACTTGCTGTAAAATGTTATGCAAGCTCCATGCCCCTTCTGAGCCTCACGTAACAATACCTACCTTTTTAGGGATTGTGTGAGAATTATGACAACAACATATAATGTGACAAAAGTGCCTTCAAGGTACATAACTACTAGTGACAATTGATTTTATAAACATCTCACCAGCTGAAAATTGAACTGCAGTACTGGATGGCCTATTATTTTCCATAGCAGGCGTTCGAAATTTACATTTCAGCATCTCAGAGAAAGTGTTCATGGTGTGGAATCATAGTTGGTCTCATCTGCACTGTGCTGTGTTCCTAAGGTCCAGCACAATATCTGGCCCAAAGCAAACACTCCAAAAAAATGCATATGTGTATTTGTGTGCATGTGTGTGTGTACAAACATTTTTAAAAATATAACAAAACAACAGTAGCAATTGCTATTTGTATTTCTTTGTCTCAAAAATACACATGCACATAGTTTAATGGGTTAAATTATCTAAAAGGTTTGTTCTGAAAACTATCAGTCCCATCCCACAAGCTTTCTTTTTCCTCAACTCTTAGCTGATTACTTTATTAACAACACACAGAGCTCAGTAGCATGACTATACTGCTCCTTTTCACCTCTATTTTATTACTGTCTGTTGACTGTTCCTACAGAGAATGAAGATGTGACCCTCTTTCCTCCTGTCGGCCCCACCCCCACCCCCACAAACCCTCTCCTGCACCCCATTTTCCCAGGATGGCTATATAGCAATTTTAGCTGGATCAATATTCAGCTTCTAGTACTGTGATGATATAAATATTATTCGGAGCTGAGCTATGTGTATTAATATGTCATTAATTCTCCTTTCCCGCACAACTTCTTGTTTTCTCTGGAGTTAATAATTATCATGGTTTTTTCCACCTTAGCTTCCTATGTACTCAATACAAAACTACCTACCAATTGCCTGACTCCTCTCAGGGCCTTCAGACATCATGCAGTCTATCAATTTCATCTTCCTAAGAAAACTCTTCTAGAACCTTCTCATCTCCTCACATCTTCACTGACAGCCTCTCTGCCTACAACCTCACATCACCATCATTCTGGCAATCTCCTTTCTCCTTTGTCTGATCTCCTGTTTCCTGAATCCCACATCTGTTTTCTTGATTTTCTTCATTTTGGTGAAACACATCTTCCAGTAGGTTCCTGGGAAGTAAATTTTCAGTGACTTTGATAACTGAAAACAACTTTGAGAAGTCATTTCAAATTATCGAAAGTTTGCCTGGGGAAGGAAGTCTAAGTGGGGTGTAATGTTCCCTCAGAATACTGAAGGCCATGCTTGGTTGACATTTAGCTTCCAGTTTGCTGATGAGATGTCTGATATTCAAATTCCAGGTTCTTTGATTTTTGACTTTTTTCCACTGATTTTCCCGCAGGGTCCAGAAATTTCCCAACGATAGTGCCTTGGTGTGGGTGTATATTGATCTACCATGCTCGAAATTCAGTGGGTCCTCCACAACTTGTAAATTTATGTCCATGAGTTCTCAGAAAATGTTTTGAATAATTTTGTTGCTGGTTCCTCTCCTCCATTTTCTCTGTTCTCTCCCCACCTTTCCTATTATTTGGATAATGGAGTTCCTAAACTGGTTCTCCAGTTTTCTTATTTTATTCTCTCCTGGTTTTGCCCTACTCTCTAAGACATTTCTTCAATTCTGCCTTCTGATTCTGCTATAAAATTTTCATTTCTGCCTTCATGTTTTCAGTTTCTTAATCGCATCCATTCCTACACCATGGCTGCAATTTCTCTCCTTGCCTCTCTGAAGAGCTGAATGGTTACCTTTTTGAGGTTTTTGTCATCCTGGGTGTTTATTTATTATCCCTTGCCTGCTTCTGTTTGTTTTGGATGTTAGATGTTACACAGGCTTTCTTCAAATACCCTCAACTGCTCATACCTAAGGCGGGGAACCAGCACTACAAGGAAGCAGAATGGAGACTCCAAGGACACCGGGGGCTGTATCTGTCTTGCCCTCACCACAGGATGAGCCAGCTGGGATATTTTAGAAGTCCCGGGGTGTCAGATTCTTCAGAAAGATCCCTCCAGCCGCCTGTCTGGGTAGAGGCCTTTCTACCAATACATTGGAGGCCAAGCAGGGAAGCAGGGGAACACGAGGCATGGGGATGCTCTTTCATCACCCTCTTTTCACTGCGGGATCCTGATCCTGATCAACTCTGCCTCTGTCCCCTAGAAAGACTCTCTCTTCATCATCTCCAGAGGGTATCTCCAGGCATCCACCAAATACTGGGAGAGGATTGGGAGATGTAAGTGCTTCTTAAACAGCTTCTAACCAATACAGATGAGCTGAGCCTCCTTTAGCTACAACTTTTAGTGATATCTGTTGCCACCAATTCCTGGGACTGAGAAATTCTGTCATGAAAACAGGCTTTGCTCCTCACATCTGCTAAATCCATTATCACGTAACCATCTGCTTCCAGCTTCCAAAATATTATTGCTGTTGTCTCTTTTGTTTTGGCTATCCTTGTAGGTTTGTGTACTTGAATCTATTTCCTGTTATTTTACTGCAATTTGTGATGGAAACAAAATTAACTGCCTATGTTTAATGGATTATCAATATTTAAAATAAAAGTTCCTTTTTATACTAAAGAAACTTTATTTGTGTATTCTCTAACGTTTCCACAATAACTGTATTCCCTGGTAATCAGTATATAAATTTATTTGGTAAATCAATCTAAAGAAATGACACTTTGAACATACATAGGTAATCAGGCTAACTTTCTGCTCTTTGGGACTTCCTCCAAATATCCATTTATCTATATACAAATAATAAGAAAGCTTAAGTATAAAAGAAAATGTTCTATTATACAAAGATCATTGTCCATAATGAGACCTTGAAGTACGGCCATATCTTACAAAGTCTTGTAAATTATCAGCTATTTCAATATAATTATAACAGATGCTATCTTTCATGTGACTATTTCTGAACCTTAAATTATCTTCTACAAGAAGGCCCTTGGGAATGAGTGCAAATCAAATCACTAGTGGAGAATTTCCTGAAAAGCTATCAAAAATTTAAAAAGCACATGTGCACACATGTCCTTGTTCTCAGAGGCCACTGCAGGTCGCATGGTCCATTTACGTTCCAGTGGGTCTGGCTCAGCTCACTGATAACACACTAAAGCAGCCCTCTTTAAGTAAGATAATTCAATGTAAAATTTCCAAAATAAGAGTCTCTTAAGAAACAGAGATATGCTAGGCATAAGGACACTCTTTCAGAATGGTCTTTTTCTCCTGTACACTAGGAGCACCCTCCCTCGGGGCAGTCTCTATGTGCTGCTGCGATGTGAAGTTAGCTGTGTACCTGATGAACTTCCAACACCAGGCTGTAAACTCCCTGAGGGAGGGTCTATGTCTGATTATGTTTATATTTTCACATGGCCCTTTGAATATGCCATATACAAAACAGAAGGTTAAAAGTAAATATCCTTCCATTACAAGCAAGGGCATATAGCTACCTTCTTTGTCAACACACCCGCTAGTGACAGTGCGTGGTCATGCGGAAAAAAATAAAGACAGAAAGAAAAAGGTCAAGGGCATCAAATGCTTTTGAAGATTTAAAAGAAAGAGAGTGGGGGGAAAATGCCTCTGGATTTGGAAATAAAAATCCAAGCATATCAGAAATAAAGGGTACCAGACATCACTGTTAATTTATTCAACATCATTCTGAAAATACTAGATGGTGCAATAGAATAGTAAGTATTAAAATGAGAAGAGATAAAGTTGTCATTTACAGATGTGACCACGGTCTGTTCAGAGAACTCAAAACAATCTGCTAAAATATTATTGGGAACTATAGAAAAGATTAGTAAGAAAGACAAGGACAGACTTAAGCAATTTTTTTTTTTCAGTGAAATAATATTAACCAATATAAAAATATAATGTAAAATAACACTAATCAAAATTGATGATTATAACAACAATATTAGCAATAGCTCACAGTTGTTGAATGCTAACCCTTTGCTGAGTACTGCCCTGCACCTTTTACTATGTTTCATTTAATCCTCACAGTATCTCTAAGAGGTATGACTCCCAGTGCCTCCACCTCATATATGAGGAAACTGAGGCTGAAAGAATATCAATAATTTGCCCAGGTTGTGGAGATGCTGGGTTCCTCATCAAGCTCTACCCCAGGCTGACACCAGAGCTCAAATGCACACATCCTGGAATAAATTTAGTGAGAAGACAGAACTATACAATATATAAAGAGCATAAAAACTTTAACAAACACAGACCTGTGCACTGTTCCTTGATAAAAATATTTAATATTGTAAAGATGTCAATTATCTTCAAATTACTCTATATATTCAATGTAATCCAAACGGAAAATTCCAGCAAGATTCTTTTTCCTTTCTTTTTCTCTTTTACTTTTACTCGCCCTCTTTGTCTTTTATTCTTTATTTCAGCCTTTCTGATAAAATGATCCTATATTTTCTCTGGAAGAATGAAACATGTGAAAATAGCCAGGAAAATTCTGCCAAAAAGGTTAGTAAGGGATCTTATCCCACAAAACACTGAAATACACACACTTGCCACAATCATCATGGTCAATGCTCATGAATAGGCAAGATTAATGGAACAGAACAGGAAATTCAGGAATAAAATCAAGTATTCATAGGAATATTTAATATAATGCAACAGAGTCATTTTTAATCAGATTGGCAAGAATAAAAAAAATGGAAAATACTCAATGTTAGTAAAGGTAAAGAGAAATAAATGTGTAGTTGGGCACATGGTTAGTGGGAACATAAACTGATATAACTCTTAGAGACAGCAATTTACATATATATATTACAATTAACTCTGACCTAGTAATCTTATAATTAAGAATTTTTAAGGAAATAAATGCATAAATTAATCATAGTATTGTTGATTATAGCAAAATACTGGAAATGACCTAAATATACAACAATAGAGAAATAGCTCAATAAATTTTGTTACATACTTAATGGCAACTTATGTACAATCATTTAAAAGAATGCCATCTCTTCAATGGCATGAAAAGATATATCATCAAGCAAATAGAAACAGGCTGAATATATAATCCCATAAGGAACACAATATGTCTACATATCCATGTGAAATACATGCATAAGGAGAGAGATCAAATGGCACAAAAACCATGCTGAAGGTAACACTTATTGAACACTTACACTATGGACCAAAATCATGTTAAGCACTTTGATTACATTAGCTCATCAATTTTCACAACCACCCTATGAGGAAGACACTATTGCGGTCTTCTTTTAAGTGATGAAAACAGAGACTTAGAGATATTAGTAACTTTTTCAAGGTCACACAGCTAATTAGTGATGGAGTCAGAATGGAAGCCGAGCCATCCCCCACCGGCTGCAGGTCAGCCATGGTCACCCGAATCGCCCAGCGCTGCTGACAGCCATCCCTGGGCGGAGGGCTTGAGAAATGCTGCTCCCTCTTCCTTTTGTTCTGTATTGTTTGAGTTTTCTCCCATGAACATGTATTATATTTGGGGACTTGGGAACAAAGAGGAAAAGTAGAAAGGAATCAAAGGTGACTTTTGCCACAGCCATTTCCATACGTAGATGGAGATGAACACATTTCAAGAAAGGGAAGAGCCAAAAGGTGAGAGAGAGGTGAAAGGTACACAAAGTGATTGATAAAAATAAATGGCAATAACACCCTCTCTAAAATGCTCAATCAATGCTGTAAGCAAAAATTAACACAGCCCTTTAAAGAGGATATTTTAACAATATGTTACCAAAAACAAAAACATGCATGTCCTTTTCCCCCAGAAATCTCACTCCCAGGAACTTTTCTAAAAGAGGTCAGGAGGTACAGATATAAAGGCCTTCATAATTTTCTGCCCTATTGTTACTTGAAATTTGGTGTAGTGGAAAGAGCTCAGGGTTTGCAGTTAAACCTACCTGGGTTTGAATCCTTGCTTTGCACTTTAATGGCTGTGACCTTGAGCAAGTTACTCAACCCCTCTCAGTCTCAGTTTCTTTATCTCTAAAATGAAAATAAAAACACATGCCTCACAGAATTGTTGTGAGGATTAAATTAGATAAAATACAACAGGATGTTTGAAATATAAAAAAGCATTTGTTTTTTACCTTCCCATCACTCACTAATAAGTGTAACTTAGAATGAATGTGTAAACTTTCATCAAAACTCTAGGGTAAACCATATAGCTTGGTCATTTTTACATTTCTCTGCAGCACAGTATCATAAAATATTAAACACTATTAGCATTTAAAGTAGTTCAAAAGTAAACCTATGTTATGATACTTTGACACTTTCTCAATCTCAATTAGCACTAAACTAATTAACAAAACTATTTCATACACTACAGTGCATCATATTTTTCTTCCTTCTTCCCTAATCCCTGGTGTGTTGTAGGGGTGATTGAGTATCTAATTACTTCTTAATTGAAGCACATATTATACATTTTTCACTAGTTCAAGCTTAATGCTTTTAGTCAAGAAAGCAAATTCAAGGAAATTAAGTTGAATTGGGATTTGGGCAACTATTATAATGAGAGAAGGTTTGTATTATGTCTAATTATAAGTAAATGTGGATTTTAGCATTATTTCCTATGGAAATATTTCAGGTACAGGAATGTGCCATAAATGACTAACTTAGATGATTAATAACATTGTTATTCTTATTTACAATCTTGTATTCCTAATTACAGTGACTTTATTGCTAGGAACCACAAAACATAATCATTCTTTAAAGGTATTAGAGAACTGTTGGCTGTCCCCATACTAAAATCAGAATGAACATTCATATCTGTGAAAAATTACGAGCTTCTCTGCAGCATAAAGGTTACAGGACTTCTCACATGCTCCAAAAAGAAGAAAAACATAAATATTGGGATACTTGTAACCAGTTACATTAATCAAAAATATTTATTTACGGCAAACCATAAAAATATTACTATCGAAATGGCATTTCAATTTAGTTAATACTTTACAGACAGTATTTCACTGGGGGCGGTTTTCCTTTTTGCATTAGGCAGGAGTAAAAAAACTCTAAGTTGGTATTCTCAGACAACAAGGGTCTATGTGCCTGTTTGTTTCTAGATAAGGGGAGCAACTATCTAGAATACTTTAGTTGAAGACCTTTTCAGGCAGAAGACGAGATTAAGTAACTTTTTCAGATCCAGTTCAACTCCATGCTTCTAAGATGTCCCAAAAAATATTTCATGCAGACATACTTAAGGCCTTTATGAGTCTCTGACCACTGAAATTACAAGAATTCAGAAATTTTGAAAGAGTTTTAAAGCATTGTAATGGAAAATGGAAACGTAACAATTCACTTATTTGAGAATGTGCTACCTAGAGCCAGCTTTCTTGATTAGGGAAAACTCCATATTATCTAATAAATATTTCAGATTTTGTCCAGGACATTAAACATTGTCTAAATTATTGTTTTGTTAAAAGTTTTAACTAGAATATTTGTTTAATTAAAACTGAAGTAGCCAAAAGAATAAGGCAAACTTATTTGCACTAGCATAGAAATATCTCCAAGATAAATGAGCAAAAATTTTGTATGCCTTTTTTTTTTAAATGTTTTATTGATTTTGAGAGATAGAGGAAGGGAGAGGGGAGAGAGAGATAGAAACATCAATGAGAGAGAAACATCATCAATCAGCTGCCTCCTGCAGGCCCCTTACTGTTGGGATATGTGCCCTGACCGGGAATTGAACCAATGACCTCTTGGTTCATGGGTCAACGCTCAACCACTGAGCAACATTGGCTGGGCTGTGTGGCTTTTTTTTATCTTTTAAAATACATTGTTTCTCACGTTTGTGAGAGTGATGGCAGTATCTACCTTCCTCTTACATGGTTTCTTCTCTAACCTACAGGAGATGGCTTCCATCCTTAACAAAGGGTAAGCTCCTGCACAGTCATGCCATGACCTTTCCTCACCCTCATGCGTTTCATTTCCATTCTGAGATTTCCTATTTCCCAGGTTGTGCTATATGTAAGCAATTTACTAGCATAATCCTCAGGACCATAACTATCACATGAAATGAAAATATTAAAAAGAAAGTAAGTGAGAGGACATCACTTCATCATGTTTCTGTATTTCCTTGTAATTGCTAACACCAAGCTATACATTGGTAAATCTAATGCAGATAAATTTTCCAAAGCCCATTTCAAAAGACTGCGCTTTAACAGCTGAGGCATTTAAATCAGATCCAACAATACTATATTTCATGTGGGTGTCAATAACAAACCTTAATACCACCACCAGCCCCTAATGGCAAATGGTGACGATTGGGAACATCATAAATTCAATCTCGTACGTGTTGAGTTTGAGATACCTTTGACACATCCAAAAGAAAAGTCATACTGACAGTTAGGCACTCAATTCTAGAACTTAACAGAGAGACCTGGTGTAGGAATATAAATGAGTGGGTCATCTCTGTTTAGTGGTAACAAATTGTGGCTGTAGGTGAGTCACCTACAGAGAGAGCAGGCCGGTCGGGCTGAGCTGGGAGGACTCACAGCAAGTGGGTGCTGAGATTTTAGTTCCCTAGCTCTGTGAGGCCTCCGCTATCCTAAACCTCTATGAACTTCATCACAGAAGAGAGAACTAGAGAGAATCGGCAACAGGTAAAGGAGAAAGAAGTTGACATGAATGCCTCTCTATAAGGTTTTCTTAATAAATCTCAAAGTAGAAAAACAAAGCTAAAAACTTGATTTGAGAAAATTACCAAAAAGTGAGCATCCAAGGTGAAAGGCATAACAGAACATGTGTAGAGGAGATAATCCGGTGTCAGTGATTTTCTTATGGAAAATATATCCTTCAGGTTTAAAATCATGAAATCTAGTTAAGGTATCAGAATATATTAATGTTCAATATACAGGTTGGCCCATGACTGCAAAATGTTCTCTTTTCTTCTGCCCAAACACAATTTCGTTTGAATTCATGGGGGGGGGGCAGGTACTCAATTATTCTGGAATTTTTTGCACAATAAATGATTAACATTTCTACATCATAAAAAAGGGGGAGAGGCCCTGGCCAGTGTGACTCGTCTGGGCATCGTCCTCATGCACCGAAAGGTTTCTGGTTTGAGTCCCGGTCAGGCACATGCTGGGGTTGTGGGCTCGATCCCCGGTAGGGGACATGCAGCAGGCAGCTAATCAATGTTACCCTCTCACATCGATGTTTCTGTCTTCCCCCTTCCTTTTCCCTAAAAATCAATAAACTATTCTTTTTAAAAAGGGGGAGGAACAAATATGGAAGCAGGGAGTATTCTCCTTGTTTAGTCATCTTGAAGAAATGCCTATATAGTTCTGATATTTTCATTCTTGGGTTAATAATAATTTTATATCACATAATCAAAACACAATAGATAGGCTGAGCACCCTTGGTATTGGGGCCTCTTCCTGAAATCATTTTGAAACTCTTTAGGAAATTCATTCCATTTTCAAGAAATTCTATATGATACAGTAAATAGAAAACAGCTACATCCATTGACCTTTCATTCCTCACCCTAATGCTCTGCATCACATTAAATTATTAGAGTTAGGAGAGTCCAGGTTCTATTGGCTAAAAATAGGCTCTAAGCTTTCCATTTATCCAGGACGGATAATAGCTTTTACCTACTTGGTCATTCCCAGTTGACATTCTCTCTTTCCCCACATAGCCCCTCCTTTCCTGTAATGCCTTAATCTTTTCTAACTTATAACTTTTGGGTTATAAAAGAAAACTGGTATGGAGTTGATGCTAGCTCTAGCTTCACTAGAGCTCAGAAGACAACATTATTAATTGCAAAAGAATACATGGGGGAAAATTCAACACAGGCAAGGATGACTTCAAAGACCTAGAAAGAAATATGAGGGCAAGTTAGATAAAGCAATCATTCAGAGATGGTTGCTTAATAATCCCTGTTTTCTCTTCTATGTTTTTGGGGCCTTTTTAAAAATCTATTTGGGGCATACTTATATTTTCCCCTTTTAAGAGAGGCAAAAAAGGAAACTATTTAAAGAGCTTTGTGGCATTACATTTTACAGAAAGTAAATTAAATAATTATAATTACTTATAGTTACTGTAAACATGTGTGCAGTTTAACAATACCTGAGTCAAGGGGGAAATAGGTAAAATGAAACAGTAAGAACGGCCTTTTAAAAATGGGATAATACTTAATGAAACAAAGGCGGCAAATAATCATTTACTTGATAGATTAGTACCAATATTATGACACCAAGAGCAACAAGGAAACTGGGCCTAATGCTTGGTCTTATTTTTTGTTTGTTGTTATTAAGACTTGAAAATTCAATAGGTAAAGAATCATTTCATGTCAGCTGGCTCCCAGGAATCTGAACTAGCACTGCACCTGGGTGAGTTATATGCTAACTCTCTATACAAGTACAAAATCAGAGTTCAGACTTCTTAAATGGTAATGTAAAAAGTCATAGATTATTCATGGGAATAATAAGTCTTGGTTATCAAAGCCTTCCAGATGTCTAGACATGTCATGCAAAAAAAAATGCCATTTTAAGTCCAAAAACTAAACTTATTTTAGTAAAATATAGCTAAAATAAATCTAAATTATTTTAAACATTTTTTAGAGAACTACCAGGAAAAAGTGGGTTTTTTTTCTTCTCAGTTCCAAGAGCTTAAATGAAACATTCATGCATTAAATTCAAAGTCTGACTGTCAAATCATTTCACTTTAATAAAAATTTGAATTACCAGCCTTAGGGCATTATTAAATATCAAATAAAAGCACACATCCATAAGTCTGATTTCCCAATATAATTTTTATGTAGAATTATAACTAGATTTGTATAACATATTTCAAGATAAAAGGATCAAAATGTATTCATAAAAGGGTGAAGTCGGAACTGGGGTCTTTGAAAGAATCCAGCACCATTCTTGGGAATTTCTGGAAAAATGACCTCCTTTAAGCAGTCTCAGCCTCCAAGAAAAGGACATGAACCCATCCTGCTTTTAAAAATACCTAAATTGTAATTGACTTAAGACTTTGAAAATTATACATTATCTTCCTATCATACAGTGAATAGGAAATATCTGAAATATGCATAATCTCATTAGCATTAACCTCTCTCGCTGTGTGTAAGAGAGATAAAATAGTGATGGTTATTTAGACATTTAAAGAAGCAACTCTGGTCTAGGACCATATGAATCCAAAAATTCAGGACAACCTTATTTCATTAAAAAGGGTCACTTATAGTTACTGATAATCACAGGCAGTACACTAAACCCAAGCTGGAGAAAATCATAAATTCATGTTCAACAAACCTCATCACACCTCACTGCCTGCCCCTTGTACTGGGTCGCTCCTGCAAGCCCACCCTTCCACCTTTCACTCTGCCCCGATCTTCCATTTTCCCTGCTGCTGTCGCCCTTCCTAGTCGCTACCCTATTCTTCCTTAAATAATAAAAGCATGTCATGCCCGGCCAGTGTGGCTCAGTGGTTGACTTTTGACCCATGCACCAAGACGTTGTCAGCTGAGTTCCCAGTCAGAGGCACATGCCCAGGTTTCACGCTCAATCCCTGGCTGGGGGCAGGGGGTGGAATGCAGGAGGAGGCAGCCAATCGATGTTGATGTTTCTCTCTCTCTCTCTCCCTTCCTCTCTCTCTAAAATAAATAAATAAAAAATAAAAGCAAGTCATGTAATCACTATGTCTATAAACCACTACCTCTCCTTCCTTCCTATTAGAGCACATAAAGTGTTTATTCCCTTAACAAAAGTCAGTCTGCAAATTTGCTTAGGATTTCATGCCCTTTCCACTTTTCAGAGACTTCACAGCTAGGACTAGCCCCTCTGAGAAACGGCATCTTCAGCCCCTCCATCTACTGGCTCATTCTCCTAAGTACAAAGAAAAGTTCTAGAATTTCTTTTGTTTAAAAAAAAAAGAAGTCTCATTCTCATCACAAAAAAATAAGTTATATATACAGGCCATGATAGACATTAGCCAATGCTAGTGGTAACCATATTGAAATATGTAAATGTATCAAGTCAACAGGATGTACACCTCAAATTTAACTATGTTATACGTCAATTATACGTCAATTTTTTAAAAGTCTCCTTCAATCTCATCCCCTCTCTACTGCTGCAGCCTCTGTCATCACATATGGCACCTCTGCCTCCTCCCTTCACACTCAACGTCGTCCTATGGCAATGTGCATTGCTCATGGTCACTCCACCCTGACCGCCAGTGTGGGGACATTCTCTGACCTCTTTCAGGCTGCCTGGGTCCCACCTCCAGTTCTGCTGCACAACTGCATTACTTTGGGTAAGTGACCTAACTTCACTGCACTTTGGTTAACGCCCTGTAAAGACTCATAAAGATTGCATGAACATTTACTGAGTTAATGCCTATGCAGCCTTAGGACACTGTACATAGATATCAAATCTCTATGCCAGCAACTCCCATATCCAGTTCAGACCTCTTCTCTGATCTCCGCTTTCAAAATCCCAGCTACCTTCATGGTGGGTCCACTGTCCGTGAGTGAAAGGTGTCTCTCGTTCAACATCCTCCAACTCAACTTTTTTTTTTTGAGTGGAACCTGCCTGCAATAATCTTTTCCCCCCCTCTTTAAGGCTACAGAAAATCTGCACATGGACAAGACAATTAATTCTCATGATAAAAATACCCCCTTCTACATAGCCAAAGTCTCCATCTGATTCCACGGTGAGTATACTGAGGATACACACATCACATTCTATTCCACGGGTGCATTTCCTTGTGAGTCTGCGGGGTTATGATCAATTCTTTCTGGAAATATTAGCTTCTCACAAACTGCCTCCTTGATCAGTAAATACTGTGATATTTCATTAGGTTAGGTGAGGAGGGAAGGAGACATGTGAATTAAATCGGCAATTTTGCCCTCTTGTGATGTATAATCTCATAACATGTAGGTCTCGTCGGCCTCGTGGTCAAGTCTCGTGTTATTCATCCTGATAAACACTCCATCAATTCCCAAGAAAAACCGCTGGAAGGAATGGCTCCAATTTACTCTAAAGGCTTGAAACTCCATGATCATGAGGTTCATCCTCAAACAGAACTTCTCCTAAAAACTGAATCTGCTCTCTGGCTTTCAGTTGCTCTGTATCTATATGAGCTTCTTGTAGGTACAACCTTTAATTTGAGTGACTCTCCAAGTAATCTTCCCTTATAATCTGTTGCATAGGTCCAATCATACGGTTTAATAACCTCCCTGGAGTGCTCACCCTCTGACCAGGCTACCTGAAGCATTCCTTGGTCGCGGTTTACACAGCTTAAAACATCCATAGCAGTGAACTCAGTCCCAAGGCCAGAACCATGCTGGATTCTTCAAAGGTTGTCTCCAAAGGTCATTTCAGAGGGGAGATGGTGCATGCATTTCATCAGCACTTCTCCACCTCTGCTGACTTCACGATGTGGGTCCTGGCTGCCGTCAGCTTCCGGGGCCTGAAGAAGTCCCACTGGCTGGAAGCTGGGGGTCATCGCTGCTGAGGCAGGACCCCCATGGGCTGCAGGTAACGGGCTGGAGCGGTGGGGGCAGCGGACGCGGGTTCCCCTACCTCACTGTGACCCAGCCCCTGGGCTTCCGAGCTGTTACCATCCCAACTCAGCTCTTTATCTTTCTTTCCATCCCAAACAGAGCCTCCTCCAGCTCTCCTGCTGTCACTCAATGGCACTCTATCCACACAAGTTGTCTTTGATATTTCCACCCTCCTCCACTTCATCCAATTGATCACTAGCTATCACTTTCAAGGTCTGTTTCACATGCATGACCGTCTCTCAACCTCCACTTGAGTCTGGTGTCCAAGCCCCCACGTCAGCTGCCCAGCTGCCTTCTGAAGCACCCCTCTACTGCTTCAGGCCCACCCAAATCAGTGCATTTGCTCACCAGTCCCTGCGAGCTACTGAAAACGTACAGGGGGTCGGGCCACTCCCCGAGTAAAGTCTGCCTAAGTTCTTGATGTGTCAACATGGAAATAAAGATGCTTTCACGTGGCTGGCAGGCCCTCTAAGAATGGGCACTGCTTAACTTTCCACTTTGATTTCTATCCCCAGACTCAGGGGTCTTCATTCAGGTACCTCAATGCATTAAATTCTTATCTCCTCTACAAGGAGCAGCACCTGGGGACCTTTGCAAAAGATATCCCCGCTATTGGAAATCGCCATCCCTACATTTCTTTGTTCTTCTCATTACGGAGTTTACTACAATTTGTAATTGCATATTTTGAAGTCTTTACTTTTCCACTGTCAGAATCCCCATCTCAGGCTCTGTCTTATGAGGGCAGAGGCCACATCTGTTCTTCTCATCTCTGCATATCCAGAACCAATCACATTGTAGGCACTCAATAATGATTTTTAACTTAATATAATTCTTTTAGCTCATCTACTATAAGACTTAGCTTAAAGCACTCTTGTATTTTCTCCATTGTTACCATATATGAATTATGAAAAGTTTCTTCTCATTCCTACCAAAGGCAACTTTGCCTGGCCCTCATCATCTACAAAATTAGGAGAGGGAGAGGAACTGTACTTACACAGGAACTGAGAATGAATGAATGACTGGAACACAGGACATGTATGGTTCTAAGGAATTTCTAATTTGCCTAGACATTCGAGATACAAGGTGTTACGTGTTGTGATGGATTCAAAGTAAAATAAATGTTTCAACCCTTAAGAAACTTGGAATCTAACCAAAAAATAAGAAATACACAAACAGCTAAATTGAAGAAAGAATGTGAAATAAGAGAGATAATCTAAAGGAGAAGCAGAGAATTCATGCTGAGCAGTGTTTGAGTTGAGCCTGTGGGTGGCTAGGATTTCAATAGGCAAAAGGTGGGGCAGGAAAGACTGTGAGCAAAGCACATTCACAGAAGAAAAAAGACAGCTTGGCTGCAGTACTGGGTAGTAATGATAGAGGGGCAAGGAAACTGGATCGGGAAACACGCGGACAGAATGATAACCCTTTACAATTCCTGTGTCAACTGTCCAGCTCATAAGACTGTGAGTTCCTGGATGCTAAAGATTTCTATTTATTGCACCACTCACGTAGTATGTGACTACATACTCCTAATGGTCCATTCAACAGTCACAGCTCTGCCCTGCTTACCTAGGAAACGATTTCAACAGATACGATTCTCTCATGGGAAGTAGTGGTTTGCCTACCATGTGCTGACCTGTGTCCACACTCTTAGGCAACTTACAATGTAAAGAAATAATTCAGTGTACAATCATTTTTGTAGACTTTATCTTTTCCATGTTTGCAAGGTTTTATTTTGTTAGCTCCTTAAGGGAAAGGAATACATATATTGAATTCAATGTATTACAATGTGTATATTGTGTTTAATCAATAAGAAAATACCACATTCAGATTAATCAGTGCTTCCTGACTATCAAATAATAGCACTTCCATAGGACAAGTGTTTTCATTCACGACAGATCTGCCCTGCCCTACCCCAAAAACACCACCATCAAATCTGCATCAGACAATGAGGGCCAGCTCTGAGGCTCACACTCTCCTCCAGGGGTTCAACACAGAAAAGTACAGAAGGGGTGCTTGCATAGCCCCAGTTCTCTGTCCTTGGGAAAGCCAGTATTAAAGCAAAATTTGGAATGAAAAGCTAGTGTGGTGAGAAAATATAAGGATTGCAGATTTTTTCAACACTGCATGAAATTTTTTAAAAACCACCTTGCTTGTAAATTAACAGGGCTTGAGAATGTGTCGTAAATGTTATCAAAATAAAATGCATATTGCTGAATTATCAGGATCACCCCAAGAGTAACTGGTCCAACAGGTCTACATAACCATGTGCCTACTGCCTTACTTAATCCGCACATACCCGGGTGGAGGGCTCCTTCCTGTTCTCTGTGGCTACTGAAATGCAGCTCTGATGACTCTGTCACTAAGTGGCTGAGTGGGTCTAAAATTGTCTCCCAAAATCCCATCACAGCCTTCCACAAGTTCTGCCCCCTTCACATGCGTCCTCAGCCTTCGAAATTCTTCAATCTGAAAATAAAAGCAGAAAAAAATAGATTAATCATTTACCAGGCATTAACAAGATTGGAGTTTCATAAATGACCTAAATATGCATAAATTATCACAATTAAAAAGGAAAAAACTAAACTTCAAAATCAGGGAAACACACTTAATTCTTCCAGACCTCCTAAGGCATTAGACATGATCCTTGCGAGAGAAATGAAGACAACAGAAGTACAGATATGAAGGCGAAGCCATCAGCCATGGAAACCTGCTGGATCTGTTAATGCAGACATGCCATGCCCCTCTCTCAACGATCTTCCATGCCTGCCTGTAGGGTAATAAGGAGGAGTGAATGAATGAACGTGTTCTCATAGGCTTCCCAAGTATACCTTTAATTAATGAGTTCTGATGTTACCATCGTACATTAACACTGAGTCCATGTTAGATGGATCAGATGGATGTTTCCTTCATCAAAAGACTCTTCTAGCCTTTTGGTGAGCCCCGGTCCAAAGAATATCTCTGATTTTCCAGAAGTTTAAGCACAACTTCCTCCCTTAACTATCAACTTTCAAGTTCATTTCCCTTTCTCACGTGGCCTCTCCAGGTCCCTCGGTTTCCCATTAGCTGCGAAGAGGTTGTTCCCATAGTCCCCAGGGACCTTTCCCATCAGCCGTACTAGTCTCTCTGACCTGCCGGGTCTGCAGCCCCTAAGAACCCGCAGCCTGCCGGACATGACCCTCTGAGACATAGTTAAGCAACAAGCAGGCATGTGAGCAGCATCGCCAGGCTCATTCCCATCTACAGGGAATGATTTACCTACAGGGCTCATTGTCTGTTATTTCACTTAAATGCCTCATAGTCACATGGCACTGGCATTCTTCATTCCTTATGCAAAAGGAGAAACTGAGATTAAAGAGGTTAAGAGGGCTTCCAAATTAACCACGTCTGACAATTCCAAGGCCACCTTCGCTTTTCCAAGCTCCGCAGTCACCTCTTTAGAAATTCTAGTCCAGTCAATAGAACCTACATCCTGCACGATCCCAGGAAGCTGAGCAAATGTGATGTGATCAGCATCAATCCACCAAAGGTTCACCATTGCGTATCAGAGGGTTATACCTACAAAGGTTCTTCATACAGCACAGCCATAGGCTCCTCCCATTCATAAAGCAAAAGAAAATGCAAGGAACAACTAATTTAGGGGTTCTAATAAAAATCTAAAAATTCCTATGGACTTTAGGGAGCCCATGAAACCCCTGAATGATATGCAAAATTTTACATGTGCCATTTTTGCTGAAGTAGAGGTCCCCTGACGCCAAAGAGTTGAATCTCACAGATTCACTCAATCCACTCGTATACACGTTGGGAAATAGAGTTGGGAAAAAATTAAATGGCTTGTTAGATTAGAACCCAGGTTAAAAATCTGACTTCTAATGTTTTGTTTTTCCATATTTCCAATGCTGTTTGATTTCCTAAGTCTGGGAGCCATCTACAACTGTCCTGTTTTTTAAGTAGTATTTGGATTTACATAGGAGTGCCAGTCAGATAAGCAGTTTGCTGTTTAATCTACATAATGGTTTGTCACTAGGCCCTCTCGGCCTTAGAGGGGACCTTGACTAGCACTTACAGCATGCTACATCTGGAAAGTTTCTAGAGCCAAGGCTGCATGAAAAGCCCCTGTACTTATTTGTAGAATGTATTTTTACTTAGTTTTCCCCACGTGTGGAGTGGAAAGTAACCAGGTCAGTCAGACGATCCCATGCTTTTGCAAACAACAGAATATGAAGGGGAAGGCATCAAAAGGCAGTTCCCCCCCGGCCAGTGTGGCTTAGTTGGCTGAGCGTCATCCCATCACTGAGAGATGGAGGTTTGATTCCCAGTCAGGGCACATGCCACGTTTGCAAGCTCAATCCCAAGTAAGGGGCATGCAAGACATGTTTCTCAATGTTTCTCTCTCTTATCAATGTTTCTTTTTCTCTCTCCCTCTCCCTTCCTCTGTCTCTAACATCAATAAAAACTGTAAAAAACAAAGGCCAGTTCTCATCCTGACTCTGCCACATAAGACCCAAATGACCAAACTACTTCACCTCTTTAAGCCTCAGTTTCCACATGTGCACAAGGGAGATGAAATAACAGCATTTGCAAAGATGGTGTTAGAAATAGGATAATTCTTGAAAATTACTTAGCATAGTTCCAAGTACATGTAAGTATTTGACATCTATTAGCCAACTTCTTTTGAAGTCAAACCTTTAGCATTTTGGATAAATATTTAACTCCAATTTTATATGCAAAAAGAAGACTGGGGGGAAAAATAAACCAATTGACTGGGAAAACGGAAAGTCATCTCTCCTCTCACTCACTTTCCATGGAATCATATGTCAGAGCGGCCACCAGAATCTATAAAATTGGGCAGGGTCCCTGATGAGCAACGTGGACTAGAAACTTGACTGCTTCAACACATTTTAAGAAATACTCCATTTTTATTGACTCTGAAGCTTATTTTGAAGCTAGGTTAATTTTATATTTACGTGTTCTGAACTGAAGATAAACCTTGCAAGCTCCAGGCCTCAGCCTGCACACCTTCATGAAAACAGCTTCTAGACAAGATGATCTGAATCAACAGCAAGCCAGTCTCAAATCACTGCATGCCTGGAGAGAACTACTTCACAAGAAATGGTTTCCTCTGATCACAGCAACACTTTGAAGACTTCAAACATCAACAGAGACCGAGGGAAAAACACGTCTTTCTGAAATGCCAATTTTTCTGAAGTAACCACCCTTCAAACCCTTTAGTCACTTCAAATGGTTTCAAGTGCATACCGCCTTACCCCACGCTGAAATGAGAGATCCCGAGGAAGGAAGAAAATAGTATCTCACGATAAAAGTCCTCAGCAAAATTCAAATGCCAGGCAATACAGAGCTTATCATTATATACATTAGGACGTATGATTTTGTCGATTTTTAATGCTACTCTACTTAAGCATGGTATTTGTTTTTAACCAATTTAAAAACAGAGAGACAACAGAGATCCAACACGTCAGAGACAAATCCTCATCTTCTGAAGGCAGCAAATGGAATAGCCACTGTTCTCTGAGCCTGGGTTGCTCTCCAATTGATCTAAGTAAGACATTTATTCCAACCTTCGCTGACTCATGAACCAAGCTCTTCACTCAAAGTTCAACTTGAAAGCTGCTTTCAGAGGAGTGCATTCAAAGGGCTAATGTCCAGGATTTGAGGTTTGGCACTAATTATTTTTAGGAGTTCCCAAGACCCTATGTACATCCTCTGACTTATTGTGACTTACACCTCGTGTTATCATGGTAAAAGAGAAACGTAACACATAAAAGTTGATGTTCTCATCTTACTTTCTTTTATCATCAGACTATGACGATGCGTGAATTAGAGTAATATAATTCCTTATGGTAGCAATCAAATGAAAGAGTCAAAAGCAAACTGCACTTAAACAGTCTACATGTAGGTACTTATTGTGAGATTTTATGTAGATATCTACCCTTCAGCTACTACAGCCCTGTTGTTTCTGTTTCATTTTCTTCTAGCCCATCTAACTTTCTCAAATTTTCGCTTCTCCTTTCTTGCTGACCTCTTGTGCATAAACCAACCCTCATTCTGTCACTCCTTAATCTGATCTTTTTGTTGTTGTCGTCAATCCTCACCCAAGGATATTTTTTCCACTGATTTTTAGAGAGAGTGGAAGGGAGGGAAAAGGGGGTAGAAAGAGAGAGAGAAACATCGATGTGAAAGAGACACATCGACTGGTTGTCTCCTGCATACGCCCCAACTGGGGTTGGGGATGGAACCTGCAACCCAAATACGTGCCCTTGACTGGGAATCGAACCCACAACCCTGTGGTGTGTGGGCCTCTAACCACTGAGCCACACCAGCCAGGGCTGATCTTTTTTTTTTTTTTTTTTTTCCAGGAAGAGCCCAGAGAACATCCTTTCCCCAGAACACTGCTGTAAACTTTGTTCTTATTCCAATCCCCAGCCTGGTCTCTGCCACTGTCTCTCCATCCTCACTTTAGGATCATTACTGATGAGCCACACATACTGAAACTTAAGAATTACAGACTGCAGAGTATATAACCACAAAGGACGTGCTCTGTATCATGAAAGACACTCAGGAAATACAGGGTGTCCCCAAAAAATGTATACACACTATAACAGCTGACAGCTCAATTTTGAAAATTAAATGTATTTTGATAAACACTGCCTTTATAATTATTCAAAACAAGTTTTTGGGACATCCTATATATACAAAATTTTCCACAAGTGCCTAAAAATAGCACATTTTAAGAAAGGAAAGAGAGAGTCTTCGAGGAGAGAGCAAATCCTAGAGTGGCACTATCCAACAGGGTGGCCACCAGCCCCCATGTGGCCACTGAGCATTTGAGACGCGGCTAGTCTGCACTGAGATGTGAAGTGCAGAATACACACTGAAAAAAGAATGTAAAAGATCGTGTCCGTGATTTTTTTACATTGATTACATGTTAAAATGATACTTTGAATAAACTGTGTTAAAATGGACTGCTTGAATTAATTTCACCTTTTATTTTGACTTTTTTACTCTGGCTACTAGAAATTTTAAGCTTCTGTAATTGGCTCATATCATGTTTCCATTGGACAGGGCTGATCTAGTGCCTCCTTCTGGTGTTAGAAATTACACCTGGAGATAAATGCCTATAGATAAAAACTGTGGCTCCCAAAGTGTACTTCCTGGACTAAGTTCTTGCCCCAGACCTGCCAAATCAGAAAATCTGGGAAGAGGCCCAGCAACTTGTAGTTTAACAAGCCCTCCAGGGGATTGCTTGAGAATCACGGATACAGAAAAAAAATGTACAACAATTACTCCAAAGCACTTGAAATCATTTTCAAACATGACCTATAACAACTTGGTTTTAGGGTTAACAGTCCCTCAAATCCCATGTGGAACTGAAAAACAAGAAAGGCCTGCTGTGGAGTCCTGGACATAATGAGACTGCCTCGGCTCTCCAGGGCCAGATGAGCTCCTAGGCCCCACAGGCCAAGCACACTCCATGCCTTAGCTCAGGCTGTCGGGCGCTAAAAGAGTCCCACTTTTCAATCCACAGGGGATGGGGAATGGGGAAGGGTGACGAGGAGGGAAGACTGCAGAGAAACAAAGCTGCAAATGATTTTCCAAGCTCTAACCGACACATGTCCACACAGTGAAAAACAATTAACGTGGTCCATGCTCTTTTGTTTCATTGGTGTTCCTTGATGTTGAGGGGGGCAGGAAGTAACAAAGACAAACACATCTAATTTGCGTAGGTAAGTTAAGAAATAGAAATAGGTTAGTAAGAGGAAAATGCTGAAAAAAGGAGAGAAAGAAGAGAGTAAACCTTAATGATTGACCCATGTCTGTGCACGTGTGTGTGTTTACATGTGTGCACGCATACTTGTACATACGCCATTATATCAAAATACCACATTTTATCAACTCTGAGTATTTTAATGGCTCTGTGAAGTCAGAACGTGTCTTACAATTTCTGTTGTCAGATCTGCTGAAATGATTATGTTCGTGGAATCTCATTTCCAAACATTACAATATAGCTGAAAAAATTTCTTTACTTTGGCTTCCTAGTGCTTAGAACATTGTGTAGCTTAAAGTAATTTAATGGTTATTGATTATTTTAAAAAAAAGAAAATTACATTCACTCAAATCCATCCAACTGTGTGGGTTTTTTCCTTAGCATGTGGTATGCTAACCAAGTATAACATCAAAAATGCAACTAAGCAGGTGCTTCCAGTTCCATATACTAGAATCCTTAGTACTCAGGAAGATGTGTTCCACAATTGGTTTAATTGTCAACCGCACACTTCAGCGGGAAACTCCTCCCCAAATCCAGCTGCTGCGCACTCCACAGGGGAGCATTATGACTCAGAGCTTTTTCCTTTAATGTTGCTGGTGCAGACGTTATTACCCTATGGCAGACGATGTATTCAAGGTAGCACTTGTTTCCATAATAATACCTAGCAGCTTAATCACATATGTTAACCCTATGATAGAAGGTGAAACTTTTTTCTTCAATATAAAGTTTTCTATTTCTCAGTTTCATCAGCTATGCAGAGATTCATTCCACTTGACATCCGCTATCCCTTTTATTTTATATATCAGTTCTTATTATCTCTATCTTTATCTCTTTCTCTGCTCTTCTTTAAGGGTAATAATATGAGACCTCAGTTTTTATTGGTTTAGCTGTCTGGGTAACCGTTTGCCTCCCCAACTCTCAGTGAGCTGTTTGAAGGCGAAGACTGTGTTTTAATCTCTGTTCCCTCCGTGCTTGGCTGGCACTCAGGAAGTTTCTTGTAAGAACAAACAGATGAATGAATAAAGAAAGGAATTGGGATTTGTCATGTTAAAAACATGAAGGCCCAAAGGCGGTGTGATCCAAGTTTATAAAATAATGAGATGGAGAAGCTAAGTGAGAAATTTTTAGAATTAATCTTTAGAAAAAGAAAAGTTAGAAGAAACCGCTAAAGGTTGAAAGGATTTTAAAGATTTAAGAACAAAATAAGGCTCTATTGAGTAGTTGGTAAATCTGAACTTATAAAATAATAGGGAATATAATAAAAGTGTATAAAGCATTATTAAAGAAAACTTGGTTTATGTAAAGTATTGCTCAGGCCTTTTGAGGTTCATCATGAAGAAAATAATACAGCCTTCCAGAACAGGGATCCCATCGATCCCTGGAGGATCGGGGACACGTACATTACCTCTTTTATAATAATATCAAGATCCCTCTTTAAAACATTATAGTTATGTTGCCTCATGTTGCATCAGGTAACTTCCCTGTGCATTAGCATTTACAGCACCTATGCAGAGCCCAAGGTGGGAAGTAGGTGACCAAAATCTGTAGAACACTCCAGAACTTTCCAGGATATTCCTTCGAAGTCCCAGACCCTTCATACAGATTTTTCCTGTGCCAGCCTAAGAAGAACTATTTCAAAGCTGACATGTGACTTACAGAAATAACCAGCATTCTCACTATACTTCCAAGACCTTTTTCCTCTCCATGCTTGAGAAAACCCACATAAAGGAATAACTAGACTAATCAGAAGTAAGTGACTTCTATTTACTCCATAAAACCTGACTTTTAAAATACAGATCATAAAGGATAGCTGGGTTTTGTTCATCCCTGACCTTTCCATCGCTTTCACAAGTTCGAGACATTTAACTTTCATCTGCAAAGATGTGACTGATCTAAAGAGAGCTAAAACATAAAACAGACATTTCCCTTTTACAGAAACAAAATGTAACCTTTAACTCAGAACTTCATTCTGAAAGACTTACGGTACCACACTCACCTGTAGCTGGGATATAGTTAAAGGGTATCGGAATAAGATCCAGGTAACACCTTCGCTGCAAGGTGGAATGGTAAGCGAGCCTTCATACACCCAATAATCGCGCAGCAGAGGATCTGTGCAACCGCGTGGGCATGTCACAAAAAAGCAAGTTAATCAATCTTAATTTTGAGACTCCAACAATAATTTTCAAAATTACAAACTGTCCAAATAACATTTCTCGGACTGCTGTCATTTTTAAACTAGAACCTCATATGTATTCTTAATTAATCATCATAAAGTAAATAATTGATGAAAAACACTATGAGTCCTCTATTATTTACAATGATTTCAATCAACAGTTTACTATGCATATCCAAATATGGCTATATAAGCTTGACATTTAAACTGAATATATATAAATTTGATATGTACATGTATATTAGGTTTAGTCACTTTAGCAGAATTGTATCCACGTTTGTTTTTTACTTTAATGGATGATTTACCTAATTATACCTAATATTTATTGAAAACTTGCTACATGGGAGGCACTATTCTACATCAACTCATTTAATCCCTACACAAACCAGTGAGGTAAATCCTTTTATTAGCCCCATTTTTCAGGTGGGGAAACTGAATCACAGAGGGTTACATAATTTCCCCAAGATCACTGAGCTAATAACTGGCAGAGCCAGGATTCAAACCAAAGCAGTCTGGCTTCAAAGCCAGTGTTTTTCACCATTTCATTCTAGCTACTTCTATCTGTATGGTTTCTTCAACAGCAAAATTTTAAAAGAATATCATGATAGGATAAAATAAATTATTTTTATGAAATCTTTTAGCTCAGCATTAGAGGAATTCATGATTAAATATGATGGGCAAATGTTTGGTTGGTTGTAGAGCAATTAAATGCAGAAAGTAGAAAATACAATGCATCAACCTATTTGGTTTTGTTTGAAACACTAAGAAACTTCACATAATTTATGCAGAGACTTGTGAAGACCAAAATTTTATGCAAAATAACCTTTAACTACAAATCATATTCTGAGTATTTTATACCCAATTCTTAGCCGTTAGGGAAAAACTAAATAATCAGAATTAATAGCTAAGTATCATTGCAAAGAGGTTACCTTATAAAATTAGATGTAAAATTTGTTTCACTCTAGAGATTAATGAAAACTTCACTGATCAATTTTAGAAGTATCCCAAGGTTATGGTATTGTGCTGGTGCTTAGAGGTAGCAATTTTTACAAAAAGGAAACCTTTCATGGATCAATAGAACTAGTGGTAAAGTATTTGTTATTTCAAAAGGTTTATTCCCGTGTTTAGGAAAGGGGTACCTACCACAGAGAATATATGTATTGTAAAGAACCTTTATTAACTAGTCATATATAGTTATATTTTCTGAGGAAAGTAATGAACTCATATCCATGGTTAAAATTCATCTTATGCAATCAGAAGCACACTTACCTGGTAATAAAGTGTTAGGATTAAAACAGGGTATTATTTTGGACTTCCCCTAAAAAAAGAAAATAATTATCCCATGTTAACATAAAATTTCTTCATTTTACAATAAAACTTATTAGCACTAGAAATTCAAGTTGAAGTCTCTTCTGAATGACATCTTTGGACGCCATAGATTTGTCTCATTCCGTCTTCTCATTGGAGCAACAGGGGCTGGTGCCAACAAGACACTCCTGCTCTGGGTCTATGTTGTTTTCTTTTCCACTACAGTTCACTTTTCCCTGTAAATCCTGCTGTGAAATGTGTAACTGTCTATCTAGTGTCTGTATGTCCCCTGTCAGCTACTTTTCCTGCTCCTAGCACATCCATACCAGAGACTTGGGCCTTGGAGTAAAACGCCTGAACCTTGGCCCAGGTCATTAGTTTGACCTGACTTTCCTCCTGGGACTCTGATCTTGGCATTACAACCTGCTTTCCAAATTCTTATTTTGTCCCACTTGAACTTGGTAATTTAGCTCTCAGATCTCCTCCACCAGAGAGGGAGATCTGACACTCACATGAAAACATTCTATTTCGATCAACTTTTATCAAAGCTGGATTTCATTTTCAAGGAAAATACGTATGCCTTATTCAGTAATTCATATTAATGATCACTATTGTAAATAGTGCCATTTAATCTGCTCAGGCCTTTGAGGCAGATAGACTTGTCACGATGGTTGGGTATCTCTTGCAGGATTACTCTGTGAACACAGACTTAACTGGGTAGGTTAATGCTTAACCTCTAAATCTCTTCCTTACTTTTAGAGACTCTTTGACACATTAAAGAATCCAGCTTACTTGCCTCCCACCACCCTCCTGGATTTAATAATGGCTTATATGTCATATTAGCTGAAGAAATAAAGGAAAATTTCTCCACCTATTTCTGTCGGACAAATGTCAGTCAAAATGTGTCCTCACACCCTTTTTACCAGTTTCCTTGACTATTCTGTGCTTTCCTCTGGTGCCTGGATTCATTCTTCTAAGCCTCCTCAGAAGGTCTCTGCTAGAGGTCCTTGCCTGGTTCAAGAAGCAATGGCTCTGGATCTATTTTTGTTCATCAGTTTATTTTGTTCATTACATTCTACATGTGAGTGATCATGATACTTGTCATCCAGAGGCATAGAAGCATGGAGCAGGCTGACGAATCTCAGAGGGATGGAGGAGGGTGGGTGGGGAGAGATTAATCAAAGAACTTATATGCATAATCCGGGGAAGTAATGTG